TGGTTCGGTACTATAGTTAGTCCGTCATGGTGGTCTCACGTGTGGTTGACCGAAGGATTAGCAGCATATTTCGCGGATTATGTTATCGATAAGGTGAGAAACGTGGTTTTTACTAAAGATAATATTGATTTAGCACGTAACTTTACTTNTGTTTAGTTGATCTTACTGATCATCATCATTTTATACGATTTTAGGGACTTGAAGAGTGGAAGAGGACAGATCTTTTTGTGATTGATTCTCACTACATTATTCTGGATATTCCGCAGAATATCCAGAATTTGAAACCTCTTACAGAAGAGGTTAATANTTCTGAAGAAATTACCAATCTCCTCAACAATCTCGATCGTTACAAGGGTGAGATAAAAACATATATGTTTGAGCCATGTGTCTTATGTTTCTAAATAATAAACAAAAATACATGGCAGTAAAAACAATTTGTATTTGCGGTTCTTTCTATTTCAAGTTTCTGAAAAAGAAAGAATTTCTTTTAAACTTACAAAAAGGTTCAATCATTTTTTCTAATTGTTACAGCACGTTCTGTACTGCGTATGTTGCAACACATTCTTACCGATGACGTATTCCGAGTGGGTATTATTAAATATTTAAATGCACAGTGAGTAGAATTGATTGGTGATAAAAATGTAGAAAATTTANTACACACATGAACATTATACTTACAAAGTTGCTTGTATAGTCACTGCGACATTATTTGATTAATAGTTGATGATAACATATATTTGTCACACACGTGAACATATAGCATTATAATTAATTAGAGTTACTTGTTTTAGCTTGTGCAGTAGAAATTGAATAACTGTTACTCTAACATTTGTGTTATGATTTATTATGTTTCTTTAGTCAATTCGGCTCAGCTACATCCGACGACTTCTGGAACGCTATGCAAGAGGCTTTAGATGAATCGAATGTTCCACACGACGATTACAATGTGAAAGAGGTGATGGATGCGTACATAAAACAAGATCGTTATCCTGTGGTACATGTGACTCGAAATTATGAAAACGGCGATGTCATTTTGACGCAAAAACGCTTCCGTTCGCAAAACGAAACTGACTCCGTCGACGACAAGAAATGGTGGATACCTATCACTTTTGCTACGCGATCNAATCCCGATTTTTCCAACACTGTGCCAAAATATTGGTTAAAACCACAAGATGAAAATCTAGTCATAAAGGGAATTGATTTAGATGACTGGATCATAATCAACTTGCAAAAAACAGGTAAGGAGAAAACTAACAAAGAATTTTACGCGGTAAATAAGAGTCGATATATATGCAGAATGTTCGTGCAAAATATATAGACATATATACTTATTTATTTATTTTTAATAGTGTAAATTAATACACACGGTTATTCGAATTGAAACTANAATTCATAAATTCATATAGCATGCTTACTTGCATTATCTATATATGATAAATATCTATCTATCCTCTCTCTAATTTAGAATTATATTGCGAAATAAGCACTCTAGCCAGATTAAGAAGTACATAAAAATCATGNATCGTAGATTTATGAAATAATCTTGATAATGCGTGTGCAAAACGGTTTTATACTATTAATGATTTTTACAGGATATTATCGTGTTAAATATGACTTTCCCAGTTGGTACAAGATTGCAGAATATTTAAACTCAGATGATTATGAAAAGATACACGTGCTTAATCGTGCTCAGATTCTTGATGATTTCTTTCATCTGATGGTTTATCCATCGGATCTTATTAATTTTAAAGAGCTTGCAAATTACTTACAAAGGGAAACAAATTTTATAGCGTGGATGCCGATAATTGAATTTGTGAAAAATAAAGAAGATTTTAACAATTTCACAGACACTCATTCGGTAAAGGTCAGTGGTAAAATTTATATTTGTTTTTGTTTTGAGAACAAAATACATGTGATTGAATAAAAATAAATCTGGATAAAAAACTTTTTTAAAAAAGGAAACAGTCTTTTTAAAAAATATATACAGCGTAAAAACAAACAGATAAAAAAAAAGAATGTTTCACGACAGTTTTGAAACTTGTCTAAATATCAATTTTTCTAATATATCTTGATTTTACATTATGTTGTTGCCTTATAGATACACCTAGTGAAACTTATGGATACACTTGTTAAACACGTAGGATCCGAAGACGATCCAGCGGACAATGTCTTTCAGAGGGTGACAAGACTTTTAACTATGATGTCGGCATCTGAATTCGGTAACGNTGAATGCGAAAAAATACTTCGTAACATCTCTTTGAAAATGAATGAAGGATTTGAGTTGGACAAGTAAGTTTGTTATAATCATATACTTTTAAAGTGAATAATNATTGGTTTTATATAATTAGAGTCGATGGTTTTTTGTAGGCTTCCGCGAAACACGTTCATCTGGGTATTTGCTGCTATGTGGACTCCATGCGAAAGACAGATTTGTAAGACGAATAAATGTNAAAATGAATGTTACGACTCAGAGAGCACAGTTTTACAAAACAGTTGGCACACTTCTAATAGTTCGATTAATATATTAAGTAGATCAGTAGTAGATGATATATTACCAGATAGCGAGTACAGAACGATTTACGATACTATTGTTCAAAAGCATGCGGACGATGATTCAGTACTGGATTATTTATTGGAAAATATAAGTAAAACAAC